TATATTAATCAGAGATCATAGAGGCGTATGATTGATTTTTCATGACAATAATACGTCACGTAGTACAACCATAAACCCTCCGAAAAAATAAAAATCACAGAAATAATAAAATTCCAAATCTTTCCTGAAATGAGAGGCGCAAGTAATTCATTTTTTTGTTCAACCTGTCACCAAAGCTAGCTGTCACATCGGTGGCTTGTGTTCGCAAATGTCCAAAGCATACATTATCTAAAAATGCCATTTAATTGCTCTATCAATTATCCACACTCTTCCATCACAACGAGCAGCTTTGTGGTGCGGTACTCAAGGGAGGAGGAATGTCATCTATCCAACGACTGTTCCAAACATTTATAATTCAAGGCATGTGAATGAAAAACAGCAATTTTCGTTTTTTTGTTTTGTTTTCGTTACAGCTCAACAAAAATTCTACTTTATTTTAGATTGCCTGCTTTTAGAAAGAGAACAAACAATTTAGACTACATTTCGACATTTAACTGCTGGCCCAGAGTTCGTTTCTCATTGGAATGCTGCTGTTGGGGTGTTTGGGGAGGAGAATGTCGATTTTCTACTTCGTTTTTTTTTCTTCTTTTTTTTATTCTGGCAAATTGTCAATATTAAGTGAACGAAAAAAAACTACGAAAAACAACGACAGATCAGATGATTGGTCGTCTATTGGTAGGCTTGGTATCAGGGGACAAGGCCTAGGCACAAAAAAACAACGGCCAAGTGGAAAAACTCATCTGTAAGTGACTGTTTTCCAATAACAAACCGCAACAATGGCAACGACAATAAAAATGACAAAGAATTGTAATTTTCACACACAAATACACTCACACTCGAATTCACATTAGACATGGGCATGTTTTCAATTGGCAAATGATTTTGTTTGCACAGAAGAGGAGTGTGGTGGTATGTGTGTGTATGTAAGTCTTTGCATGTGGAATTCTGTTTTTTTGTTCTATATAAATCTCCAGCCTCTATTATATCTGTGCTGAAAAGACCTTCAATTTAAACGGCCAAGATCGAGGTCACTATTATCGCGAGGTAATATTACAAAACCAAAAGCAACAAAAAAAAAAAAAAAAAAAAAAAACAAAAAACTGCCATCAATGACACTCTATTTTCATATAAGAATGAATGCACGTGTGTTTGTGGTTTATGTGATTTTAGTTTTTCCATTGAAGTTGGGAACTTGCAAGTCCCTGTAGAATATTAAAAAAATAAATTGATATTAAATTGAATAATAATGTAAACATGATTTAAGATATGATAACAGGTTTCCAATGTAGCTTCAAGATTTTGTATTTTTGAAAATTAGTCATTCACATTCGTTATATTTATTTCTCCTACTTCCACAAATATTCAATAGTGAAAATAGTAACGAATCCGTGTAAGTGACATTAATATATTCTGTTGTGTGTGTGTGTGTGTGGTTTCAAAACTACTGTTCAACTCTGTATTGTGAATATCTGTCACGCAAGTGAAATTCCAAATTTTAATGCAAGCTGAGATTTTCTTGCAGGATAATAGAAAATGTGTCATAATATCCGAAAAATAGCTGATTCTCGAGGTCATATTTATATTATATACAGCTGTTAGAGAATATGAACAAAAAAATTTTGCAGTATCGCTTACGACTTATGCGTTTCTAGCAAACAAAATGATAAATTGGCAAGCCTTCGGAGAGAGTACACCGCTTATGCAAGATTGCTCAAAAATGATTAATGACCACAAAAAATACGAATTCATTTTGGCTAAGAAAAAGGATTATTTTTTTACACTTCCAAGCGTTGATTTTTTAAGTTGAGAATAGTTTTTTATACCGTGCATCGTAGTTGGAGGGTATATCAAGTCTGTACAGGGTGAGATGAAAAAACTGCAACCATTTCTAAGCCACTCGTCCGACAACTGTAAAAATTATTCCAGTGACAGCTCATTATAATGTTTACCAGCGTACAAAAGCATTTTGCTGAGAATTTTCCAGAAAAAAACTTATTTATGATTCCTGATAGTGTGGTTTTTTATGTGGCTATCGTTAGAACACTCCAGCATTTAAATGTGAATAAATCTTTTGTGTCTCGTATCATCGCTCGTTACCGTGATACTGGTAGCGTAGCCAGTAGCGACGTTAGAAAGTGGACGGAAGAGAACAGCAACATCAGCAGAAATGGTTCGAAAAGTAAAGAAGCGACTTGCATCGCAGTGGCCGAAAAATGACTCGTTAGCTGAACATATCGCAGTATTCCACTCGGCAAATATTGAAAAATGAGCTCGGGGTAAAGCCATTGAAATTCCAAAAAGTGCAAGAATTTACACCGCATCAGAAAGAAAATAGACTGAAAAGAGCTAAAGTGTTGCTTCGCTTGGTCAAAAGTGGTGAACTGCCGATTTTGGTTTCTCCGATGTCCAGCAGTTTATAAACAAACAAAATGATCGTGTTTACTTGCCAAAGAGGTCAGCTGAAAATGTGCACCCTCAGTTGGCCACCAGAACTCAAGCGCTGGGCATGGTGATTGTGTGGGCTGCCATAACAGCCGATGGTCGCTCTCCGCTCGTATTAATCGACCGTGGATTCAGAATAAATGCCGAATATTACCGCGACAATATTCTGGAGGGTGTATTAAAGCCTTGGGTAAGCAAAAATTTTTGCCACAGACCTTGGGCATTCCAACAGGACTCAGCACCATCGCACTCAGCATGCCAACCAAGAATGGTTACAAAATTAGGTTCCACCAAAATCTCCGGATACCAATCCGTTGGACTATTTTGTCTGGGGTATTTTGGCAAGCAAGGTTGGCACTTAAAATTACCAAAGTGTTGATCACCTCGAGCAAGCGCTTTGCTAGGAATGGACCAAAATACCGTCGAGCAATACTCGGGCAGCGTGTGACGGTTTAATTGGCCTTTTGAAGGCCATAATTCGTGTCAAAGGTGAACAATTCGAACAAATCTAAACTTATTCTAAAATTTGATGCTTTTCCTGAGATTTTTGGATTTCATTCAATGAAACTTAAAAAAAAAATGTAAAAATTATGGCGTTTGACTTTGTTGCAGTTTTTTTAATCTCTATGTGTATTGGGCCTTCACGGTTATCAATATCCGGAAATTATAGTATTTTGAAGGACTTTAAAAGACCATACGAGTTGGTAGAAAAAGTTTAGATTTAAAATGAAATGCATGACTGGGGGTAGAAAGATACAAATTATTTCTAACTTTGTCATAAGTATTTTTTTACATAACACATTTTTAACAAAACAATGTTTCTGTATTACTTCGATTACTACGATTTCCCTCAACATTTTCTTCCTTCCTGTAAAATATTGTTGATTTGATTATAAATTTTCCAATTTAATATTTGTCATAAATTTCGTGTTTCCTATGACATAATAATAATAAGAAAAGGCGGTACAGGAAGAGCAGTCTAGAATGAACAACAATGTTGTTTATATATTTAATAAATGTTGTGGGTGTGTGTGTGTGTGTAGGAGAAAAAAGCACATACAAATAAGCCTCGGCTGCTGCTCTTTTCTGTGGAGAGGAGAAGACATAAACTTTAGCCGTTAAAATGTCACAATATTTTATTGAAAATCATTAAAGAACATTACACTCGAGATGTTTTGCTTTTTATATGGATGAGTGTGTGTGTGTGTGCACACATGATGACTACACAAAATACAACCAAAAGTCCTACTATTTATGATTATTTTTGTATATATTTTTATATATACATATGTATATGTGTAAGAGTATGCCTGCATGTACAGAGAGGTACTCGCGAAACGGAATTCATTCGAGTAGTCCTTAATGTGCTAACACAAGAACACTTTTAATGCTTTTTAATGCACAAACACACACAGAGACACACACATGCATGCATACCAACACCAACATAAATACCCATTTGACATAAGTACGAAACAAACAGACACATATGCCACCATTTATACATAAGATAACGGAGGGGGGAAAACTTGTGATGACATTAAACAATATCTCTCTTAAACCTCAAAAAGGAAACAAAATACACAGAGAAACACAAGAGGATGCTAAAGAGGAAGAAGAAGATGAACGACGGTTACAATGCAAAAAAAAAAAAAGAAAAAAGACAAAACCTTTCAGTCATACACTTGTCTTGTGTCGTTCGTTGGATGGCTGGCTGATGGCTAAGTGGCAGGAATCATACTTGCATTGCAATTTGTGACGGAAGACGCGAAGATGGTTTTGGTTGTTGGAAAACTTTTGCTCTGAGTACTCATACCACAAACAAAGTCATTTTTCACCAAGGCTAAAACTGAAATAACAAGGAGAGGAAGGAACGCTGCAGAGCAACAGTTATAGACCAAATATGTCTTTTTTGGGAAACATTTCAACAAGAAAAGCCGTCATAAATTTTAATGCTTCTGCTGGCTTGCATGGAATTGTCGCTTGTATGACCATCATAAAGATAACAGTTAATGGCCATCATTAGAGTAAGTCCACATTTTGTGGTCAAATTAATTTCAGGTTGTGGAAACCATCCCACACCCCCACAAGCAAAAAAACTTTTGTCCCCAAACATTGTGAGTGGAATTAATAATAAATAAGGCCGCTCTGCTTAAGACTTGTAGAAAAACAATGACATCTTCGCTATATTGAAGTTTTCATTATCGGAATTGCCCAAAACTGCCCACTCTCCATCTTGTAGCTACTGGAAGAACTTTTGCGAAATAAATTTCGTTTAATTTCAGGCATGAATACCAAGTATCCGAATCTTGTTGTTGTTGTGCAATCATTTTCACATGCGAGACATCACAAAAATATTACATGGAATTAATCAAAAGTTCATCTATGCTGCCAGTGACAGTCTGAATTTTCACGATTGAAAACTGTATTGAAATTCATGTGTGAAGAAGAGGAAAAAAATTGATGAATTTCAATGACGAACGACACACGTGTATAGAGAAACTTTTCTACTTTTCTTTTTTCATGAATTTCTTATTTTCCCGTTTTCAAGTCAAAGATTAATTGGAAAAGGAGGGTGAATGAATTGAGGAGGATATTAAAAACATCAACCCAAATTTTGTTGTTGTAAGCCGGTGAGCAAATAACTACTTACGGAGGTTGTGTACTTTCTTTTTTCAATATCCATTTTAACATCTTTACCCAAAAGAGACTTACCTGCAAAGAAAAAAAGGAAAGAAAGGTTCGAATATTAATAATGATATAGAAAATATGAAGGGAACGTTTAATTGAAGTTGGAAAAAAATATTGAAATGAGAAGGGTTACCCGTTGATATGATTTAAAATTGATGAACAATTTTTTATGATATTTTTTGGCATAGATTCACATCATCTTCACGAAAAAATCATTTTAGACCCCACAATGAATATAGAATGAATGAAGATAGATAGATGTTTGATAATAGAATATTCCTCACTCTCTATATATATGGCTTAAATCGACCCTACTTCAATCAATTTTCAATATCTCTATATATTGGGCAAATAGCTAAAAATTGATTTTTGATGTTGACTTTTCGAAGTCGATTTCGAATTCAGATTTTTTGATTGTATTTTTCACAAGAGATGATAACATTAAGTTTTTGACTTTTTAATGGGCATTTTAAAAATATTAGATAAAACACCGTAATCGTGCTTCCTATAAAAAAGAAGTAAAAAAATCGACTTAAATATAAAATTTTTTCTTTAAAACAGGAAGCTGCATCGGTTCTTTCTTTTATATAGTTCCTATGTAATTGTCCTGTTGATATCCTGTATTTGTAGACTAGATTTTATGACACAATTACACATTTAGATTATGTAAGATTTCAAAATTTTCGAAAATAAATGAATTTAATCAATTGTATAGGGATACTGAAAATCCACACCTGTGCAGGTGTGAAATAAGGTTTTCGAAATTTAAGGTAAGAGTATTAAAAGGTAACAAATACTTTACTGCAAGGGGTAGAGACAGAGAGAGAGAGGAGGACTCAGCTTTGTGAGTCAATGCGGTTAGGTTTCAGAAAAAAATAAAGGGTACAAAGAAGGGGCACAAGTACAGGGTGAAACAAAAAATTGCAACAAAGTCAAACGCCTTAATTTTTACATTTTTTTAATTTTATTGAATGAAAGCAAAACTTGTCGGAAATAGCATACAATTTTAGAATAAGTTTAGATTTTTTGGAATTGGTCAACTTTGGCATGAAATATGGCCTTCAAACGGCCAATGAAACCGTCACACGCTACCCGAATGTTGCTCTGCGGTATTTTGGCCCATTCCCGGCAAAGCGCTTGCTTGAGGTGATCGAATCTTTGGTATTTTTTAGTGCCAACCTAGCTTTCCAAAATACTCCAGACACAATAGTCCAACGGATTGGTATCCGGAGATTTTGGTGCTTTGGATGCCCAAGGTCTGCGGCCAAAGTGTTTGCATGCCCAATGCTTTAATACACCCTCCTGAATATTTTCGCGATAATATTCGGCATTTATTTTGATGCAACGGTCGATAAATACGAGCGTAGAGCGACCATCGGCTGTTAAGGCGGCCCACACCATCACCATGGCCAGCGCTTGAGTTCTGATGGCCAACTGAAGGTGCACATTTTCAGCAGACCTCCTTGGCAACTAAACACGAAAATTTTGTTTGGTTACAAACTGCTGGACAACGAATGTTTTCTCATCGGAGAAAACAAATTCGGCAGTTGACCACTTTCGGTCAAGCCAAGCTACTCTTTAGCTCTTTTGAGTCTGTTTTCTCTACGTTGCGGCAGCGATGCCAACTTAGTGCTTTTCGCGCTATTTATGGTGCTTTTTAGACCGCCCAAAACGCCAAAATAGTGGGCATAGCGCGTAACGAAAAAAAAGCACTGTGCGTACGCTTTTCATCTTTTCTGTTGGTGCATTTAGAGGGTTTTAGATTTTAAAATGTGGCAATGTTTATACATTCGAATATTTTGATATTATGGTAAGTTCTACACAAGTTCTTTACTGCAAATTCTCTAGGTGTCTTTCATTTCTGTCATTGAATTTCTTTTGTTTACATGTAACTCATTTCTAATATGGAACTAAGATTGACAATAGATAGATATGGATAGAAGTAAATGAGTTCAAAGATTCCATAGGGTAAAATCCCAAGATTTATCAGAATTCGTTATAAGACTGGTTAACTTCCCATACTCAAATGCAGAAGTAGAAAGAGCAATCAGAGCTATGAATTTATATAAATCGAAAATCAGAAACAGATTATCCTTAAATTCTGTAAATTCTATTTTACATATTAAATATGGCCTTCGTCGAGAGAATACGTGCTGTGACAAATATGACCTGCCGTCAAATGTCTGTAAACAAATTTCTACACAGGAAGTTTACAAAAAGTCAAACTATTATTTAAAAACTGTCTTAATGCAAAATGAAGAGTTTGATGCAGACAATCCAACTGCATTTGAAGCTATAGGTTTTATAGGTGAACATAATTGTTTGTAAAAATGTATATGTCTGTAAGTTTTAACCACATGTAAAATATTCTTAATACAACATTCTTTGCGTCAATTGAATTTTGTACAGGAACAAATGCAAACGCGGTATGTCATTAAGCGATGTGACATCTCTGTCAAAAGTTATCATATTTTTTAAAAATATGTGTGCACTTATATACATGAAATGTTTATAAAAGATGCGAACTAAATTTTTGAATAAAACAGTATTTAGTTTAAAAAAAAAAATGTTTTATTGACAATTTTGCCATTTTGGTTAGAAAAAAATAAATAGCGCTTTTTACGCTTTTTTAAGGAAAGTTTTTACGCCATTTACGCTTTTCTGGTTTTTAATTACGCTTCTAGCTCTCAAAATATTGGCAACACTGCGTTGCGGTGTAAGTTTTTGCACTTTTTGGAATGGCTTTACCGCGAGCTCATTTTTCAATATTTAGCGAATGGAGTTTGTGATATGTTTAGCTCACGAGCCCCTTTTCGGCCACTGTATCACTGTAATCGGTATCGCGGTAACGAGCGATGGTACGAGACACAAAAGATTTCTTCACATTTAAATGCTGCAGTGCTCTAACGATAGCCACTTGTGGTTTTCCAGCCAAATATAAAGAAATCACACTAAAAATTTTCCTTCCATTATTAGGTACGAAAGCCGTATTGTATTAATTAACCAGTGCGGATTATAAAATTCTCTGAGACCGTTATTGCCTCCAAAAAAAGTTATTTGACTTTTTCCTACACATCTTGATTTGAATTGAAATCAAGAAAAAAAAAAAAACAACGCTGTCAACGAATTCATGTTTCATGCCACAATTAATTGTAAATGTCACACAAATTACACATCATTTCCAGATAATTCCGCAACAATCTTGATTTACCATTTATTTAATTTTGAAATGAAAATGTATTCTCCAAAAGTTTCTTTCCTCCCAAAACTAAGTGACCGCAATTGTAACAAAGTGACATAACACACTCCAGGTTATTTTCAGTAGCAAATGAACAACAAAATAAAGTGGAAATTAAATTATTTGAAATACCACAAAAACACACACACACACACACAGAGACAGAGACATATCCTCAAAAATACTTTGTCTAACTTCTGAATTGCCTGAAGCTGGGCTTCACAAGTTTTTCACAAAATCATTAGAGAAAATTTGCGACAAGAAAATGAACTGGTTTACATCATTGTTTGTTGTTGGATATGTTTCTAATACACACACACACACACAGACAATCTGTCCAACTCTAAACACAAACAATAAATATTATATTTTAACACTTTATGTCTCCCCAAGTGCAATGTGTAACAAGGATAAGGACTGTCCTTAGAAAATAAAAACAAGGCGTTAAATTTGACAGGCTTGGGTTTAAATAGCTTCCAAATTGAGTAGTCTTGAATATACACCACTGAAATTAAAAATTTTGTAAAAATAACTGAAATTTATAGATCGTTTTTAATCCCCACTGAGAATTAAGAATTTTATAAACATATGTGGACATTTTTGTTTATTATACCCTCCACCATAGTATGGAGGTTATATTAAGTTTGCCATTCCGTTTGTAACGCCTACATTTTAGACCCCACAAATTATATGTAATTATTGATCAGTATTAAATTCTCTGTTGATTTAGCGATGTCCGTCCGTCTGTGGAAATCACTCTAGCTTCCGAACGAAATGAAGTACAATGATAATTTTCTCAAATATCATATAATGGTACCTCCCTTTTTTCGGTATTTTGGTGATTTAAACGACATTATTCACCGGAATTGTTTGAAATTTGATATTTGAAGTTCGTAATGAATACTACAGCCTATGACAGAAAATTGTCTGTGCGGGTCCACGTTTTGGTATAGCCCATATAATGGTTCTTCCCTATATTCGGTATGAGCTACATTATTCATCGATTTTTTTCAAGTTTCGCATTTGAATATTGCAATGGCTTATGACAGAAGTTGCCTATGCAGGTCCACGTCGTCGCATAGACCCTAAAATAACAGCTAAATTCGGTATTTTTAAGATTTTAACAGAATTTTTAACGGATTTTATGTTTTTGAAAATTGCCAAATTCATTCCAAATGGTGGAGGGTATTCAAAGTTCAACTCGGCCGAGCTTACAGCTTTTTTACTTGTTTTTTTTTTTTTTTTTTTTTTTTTTTTTTTGAACAAGAGCAGAATCCAAAATATTTATCATTTCCCGGCAATTTTTTTACATTTATAATTTATATTTTAATTATTTAAATTTTATTTGAATAAACCTGTAAAATCAGAGCTACAACAATAAAATTACCTTACGAACTAAAAAAAACCTAAGAAATTATAGCTGTTAGTTATTTTTTAGATATTGAAGAAATGTTCCATCAATTTTTTATTTATTATTATTTAATCTTGAAAAGTCTGCCATCAGTTTCCAGAAACGCTGTACGTCAGAATTTCATTTAAGTTAAATTCTTTCTTATAAAAAAAAAAACTTTTTCAGGGCGATGTAACTTTTGTTTATATTTAACTTGTAATATCTTCTCAGAATTGAAATAAATACAAATCAAGTGTAAACATTTTAGCGAAATACACTTAGAGAGAACGTAATTGTATAAAACAATCAAAAATAACACCCATTCCACTTTGCAAATAAATTTCCATTTTTTTTTGTCCTGGAACAGTCATCAGAATCACTTAAAATATTTGTACA